TGTACTCAAGTCCTAAAAGAACAACATCTTAGCTGAACTCTAGGTGTCTAGAGGTGTCTTACACTTACCACTGGATTTCCATCAACTGCTCTGGATGTTCTCCTGGTTTTTACCTGCTTTTCACAAAACTTTTAGTGTAAGAAAAAAATATCTAGACTATTTGAAATATTTTAATTAATTACTCAGCCAAATAAATAAATCCAATTCTCTGATTTTATTTCCCTGTCCACAGCTTTCAGGGGAAAAATAACCTTATGCAGGGTGCRCAAGACAGAATCCATACACCCTCCAATACTGTAGGTTCAAGCATCAATCATGCACACATGCTTAGCTTAATGCAAAATAAACATATAGTAAGAACTGGGGTATGGTCTAATATTTCATTAGACTTCAGCCCTAGATTTTGTTTCTCCATACTGTACCCTGTGAGTGTGTATATGAAAATTTGCAAACCCCATTTTCATTATTCATTATTTGTTAAAACAATGTTAAAACAGTGTTTATTAAATCCTTCCCTCATCCTCCTCCTCTCCCTTTCTTTCTTCCTGCACAGTTAACTTCCTCTCACACAGAAAGGACTCTGCCATACAGGGGAGATGCCAGCAAATCCATGTTGGGGTTACTGCAGGAAAAGAATAAAAAGAGCTTCCAGAGCTCCAAAGCTGAGAACTCACTCTCAGAAATATGTCTGATGTGGCCTTCAGTTACTAACAGCTCCTCTTGTCCAGAGCTTATAGGTGGGGCAGAAGGTTTGTGAGAAGTGTAATAAATACACATTTCCAGYCTAAACACAGTTTGGCATGAACAGAATCCTCTCCTGTAGGGTAAGARCTGAGAGTGACAGCCAGCCTTAGGAGCTGGGTGAGATGTCTCTAGGGAACTTGCTTGTTCTCAGTAAAAGAGACGTCTCTAAGGTGGTTACTATGCCCTTAAGTCCATTTAACCAGTATAGAACACACTCCAGACCCGTGGCATTTCTCATTCAATTGAAAACAAAGGATCTGATTTTATCTAAATTAATTCCGGGGCTTCCCAGAATGCAGCAATTGTTTCTCTGGGTTACTCTATTTTAATTAGTAGATTTATTCCCCCAAGGCCATTTGGAAGCTGGACTGCAGCATCTCTCCACTGTCAGTGTTACAAARGAATGTCTAATCAGACAGAGTACTGAAACCAGAGCAGCAGCATGACCATCTCAACTGCACAACAAAAGAGAAGAGATGTAAGATAGGCAAAAATACTAAATTGTCCTGCAGTTCAGAACAGAGCCCTTGGACAGTTTGCTGCACTGGACTGTGCCAGTTTCAGCCTGCATCATTACTGACCTCATTTAACTTACAAATAGGCTGCACAAGGAGTTAACAGGACTTCTGCATTCTTCTGGAACTCTGACAATCAGACAGCTTCAGGTTTCTAGTCCATGCCTATAAGGCTATTGTCCAAGTAGCTTTTACTCTAAAGACACTGACACATACACATAAAGAAATGAAACCCAGCAAGCTTGCCTTTTATCTCCTTTTAACAGTATAGTTTTTAAAAAAAAAACAAACATGCATCTTGCATTATAATTTTAAAATCTACAATAAAAAGCAAACTTGYTTTAAATAGGTTATCTGATACCTTCAATAATTAAATGATTGTGTTTGAATACCAATGAAGATATGAGAACAACACTGATATAAAGTGACAGTCCATAAAGAGACAGATCAGCATTCAAGGGGTCTTGCCTCACGTCTKTGGCAGAATCAGCACCACCTGCACATTGTTCCTGATAAACATTTGTGCAACACATTCACAGAGACCTACATGAGGGAAATTCCAAATATTATCCAGTCAATATAATCTTCTTTATATCCTTACCATGACAAGTTTTTTCTGACACCTAAAGTAGGTTTGCTTTGCCTCAGTTTAAATCTTCTCATCTGCTCCACCAAACAGAAAAAAAAGCCTTCTTTTTAGTACTTAAAAGTATCTGAAGATTATATCTCCAGCACCAGTCTTCCAGTCTTTAGAATAAACAACATGAATTCATTCAAACTTCCCTCAGAGATAAGATTTTAAAATTTCTTAAGGATAATCACTAGTGCTCTCTRTTTCTCTCCAAATTGTCCACTAGTTTCCTGAAAAGCAATGCAAAACCCCAAGGATTCCAGCCAAGATCTCACTGATGCTGAGCAGGATGGAAGGTGTGCAGGCTGCAAGCCTTATTACAAATGCCATTATCTAGGATGAGTGAACCACCCACAAGAGCACAAAAGGAAACTCCAGCAGTTTCCAGCTCCTATCTCTGGCAATCTGAAKAGCAACAGAGTGGCTTGGGTCCAGCTTGTTTCAGACATTTCTGTCTCGGCAAGAGAACGAGCTGCCTGTGAGCAACTAGGTGGTTCTCTACTCACTCCATGTCTGCTCTCACTCACAGGAATTCTTTTTCCGTGTCTTATGTGATGAAAATGCTCCAAAGCTTAGGTAACTATTTGTGACATACAATACTCCATACAATTACTCTGCTAATTAACCATGATGGGCCTCTTTCAACCAAGTATATAATTATATCAAAAACCAAAAAAGAAAAAAAAAACCCCAACCCACCAAAAGATCCACATGCATGAAACAAAAGCCATTTATTCCCAGAACTTTATTCAGATTGCATTGCTTTACACATCTTACTCGAGTGTTTTCACATTTTCAGTATACAAAGTCTGAATGTTTCTAATGCTTACCTTTCTGTGTTCAATTGAGGGCTGTGGGATGACAAACTGAAATCCCAGCACTGCTAGGGAACTGAGAAGTCTGAAAAGGCAAACAGTGAAACAGAACAGATAATTACCACTAATACAAACCACATATCTACATCCTAACACAGGGCTTCCCACTGTAAGAAAATATTTAGATTTTTCAATACCATTGCCAACCAAAGCAGACTCACTGAACTGTATGAAGTGTTCTTATAAAATTCTGTTCACTCCAGGCTCACACRTGAATGTATGAACCAGGTTCATACACAGATCTGTCCAGCTATAAAGCAAAAGTGAACCAAACAGAATCCAGTATTTCAGATAACTTCATGTTTAAATAGAAAAATTCTTGACAGTGCATATTTTAACACCTCAACATTCGGTATCAAACTGACATATGCTTTGCAAGTTTCTAAAGTGTAAGGTAAGAATTCACCCATCTGTAGACCTCATCTGCTTGTAGCYCTGGCTCATTGTTTTACAGATGAACACTCCGCCTCCAGCACACACAAAATGCAGAAAATGGGTTCTTCACCAGCTGCCTAACGCTTGTGAAAATGGAATAACCTAATGGGCACAGGAGATGGAAAGTAGTGGACACAGCCCACAGCCCACAGGATAAGCTGCCAAGCATCACCTCAGTCCCCACATCTTCAATCTGAAAGGAGTCATAATGGGAACCAAGCCCAAATAAACTGTTCTGTCAAGGCTCACCACTGTAGTGACTTCTAGGAGCCTCTTACAACTCAGACACAGTTAGCTCCATCTTTTATTTGCCATAATTTGCAACAGAGACTRGCTTGTCTCCTTCTAACAAGCCCCTTCATCAACAGGCATGAGAAATAGGATCAAGGTATCTTTATTTCTACCAGGAGTTTGATTTTTCAGTCTACAAAGAGCATATTTCAGACCCATAAAGGGGAAAGCTGCTAATGATTTGCTGAATTTCAATGCAGAATTAAAACTGAAGCATTTGGGTACAAAATACATCTGCAAACGAATGGACCAGACGAAATCCAGCTGCATTTCCTATTCACTGCTCCTTCCTTTGCTCCCTGCCCAATAAYCCTTTAAATATTTCTCATTGTTTCAAGTATTTCTCTGAGACAAACCTCGTAACAAAAAAGGGTTTTTTTAATACTAAGCGTTTCATTACCACCAATACAAATATTCTTCTGCTAGGGAGAATGTTTATCTTGTGTTTTCTGTGTTTGTTCTTGCTAACTGCAAAAGGAACCATTACATAAGTATTGATTGTACATGGCCTATCATCACCTCATCATCTGTATGCCTCTCTATCAAAGCAATAAACCACTTAAAGGCTAGAAAAAGTCATTACTTGTTTACTGCCACATCAATCAAAAAAAAAAAGGAAGCCCTTTAAAAAATGTGTTAGAAGGAAGTATTGTATTTCACAAAGCAATCATTTGTGATAAAACAATATATAGAGGAGGTGGYTGAAATCAGAGCCAGTGTAAGGCACTATAAAGAAATCACAGCAGGAGTCAAAAAYTGCAGTTCAGAGCAGGGCCCAATCACACAGTGGTAGTTCAAAACCCAAGGCACAAATCAATAAAGTGACTTGCAAATTATACCTGAAATCAAAGGCAGAAATAGAACTCAGACCTCCAAACTACAAAATGACAGCATCGAGTCTGTCTTCAGCTCACTGTCTGTCTCTTTTCCAAATGCTCACGTGATCTCCCAACTGCTCTCAATGAAAAATGATGAGTATCTAAGTAGATGGAGTGCATCCTCTGACAGGCCCAGCCTACACCCTCTGCAATTWTATTTAACTTCCTTCTCAGAATCTTCCTACCTGCTCCCTGCTCCCTTATGGCTTCTGCTCCCTCTAATCCCTCACAGCACATGAAAGAAAGTTCAGACACTCCATAAGGAAATTAATGCTTTCATCCTTGACACAACAAGATTTTTCTGATCACTCTGACTGTCTACAGATTTCCATGTGTAAATTCTTCTGAAATGATGTACAAGGTTGTGAGTTCTGAGCTGAATGAGAACTGTAATCTTCAAAGCAAATTACTTACCAGATTAAAGTTTTCAGTTAGCCAACTTTTAGTATATATGTGATTACTTCGTGCCAAGCTTTTCCTAACCATTCTTTAAAGAGGTTACACTGCAACCACCATCTGTTTGTGCATGGCTTAAGAACAATAAAGGCAATTTTTAAATTTGCTTTTGTATCTGCAATTGGATCTGTCAGAAAAAATGGTATCAAGCCACTATTTCAAACACACAGGAAATTTGCCAGGAATACTTAAGCTATCCTGAGGTAAGCCCTGAGCGCCAAATCAGTGTGTGGCAATTTAATTTTTTTAATGTTATTTCCCTCAGCAGCTTGCTTTGGCTAACTTCTCTGGACTAGGCTTTTTTATTTGTCATGTGTGACTAACTTTAGGCCTCCCAAGCTACAAAAATAGTCTTTACCAATTTCAGTGGGTTTGGTTCAGGTATTTTCACAATGCAGAAAAGCCAAAAAGAACAAGTGATCCTCAAAATAAAGCAAAACATTTCAAGTATACTTGAACAGGTGAGGTATCAATTGCAGCTAAATGATGGCTGTATAACTCAGGCCTCTAAGAACCTTGCAGATCCAGCCCCTGCTCTCATGGTAAGGGCACTATTTGGAGCCAAGCACCTAGTTTGAAGCCAAGTCAGACTTTAAAACTGTCTCACTTCCTTTTACCGGCAACACCAATTGCCAATAATATAAAAACAAAAAATATAAACAAATATAAGCATAAATATAAACACCTGAGGAAGATGTAGAGGGTACCAAAGCAGATCTCTTGTATGGCAGCTCTCCCTTAATAGCTATGGAAGAACACCATGGCCAACTGTGGATTTTCCAGATATAGGTGCAAGTATTTTAGTCAAGTGATCAGTACTGATTAGTGCAGTATGGCTCTTGTCTCAAATTCCAGACTTCCTCCCAAATCTACTGAACAGCCCAAGTCTGTGACAGCTTGGGAGGAGCTATGCAGGCCATCATTCATCAGGAAAGATAACACTGGTAGCATCAGTAAGGTGTGACAGATCCGTTTGGATGGAAAATGTGCCCTGGCATATTAGAAGGGTGCCAGAATTGCAATTCAAAGATTGATGTCTCAAACTCACAAGAACAAAGGGTGGAGCAGAGGTGTTACAGTAACTCCAGCCAAAAGACAGATGCCATTCCTTGCATGAGGTCAGCCTGAGTGGCATCAGGGCTGCCTGTCTGCTTTGAATCTGCTCGCCCAACACAGAACCGGACAGACCAGCTTAGRAACAGCTGAATGTTTCCTTTGTTAAGAAAGCTGTTTGAAAGGTCCTTCCTATGTTTGCCCACTGGCAAACTGTTTCAGGAATGCATAATACAAATCCCTGAATGAATTGCAGCACAGGTACTAAAACRTGTAAATCAGTAATTTCAGCCTAGTGACTATAATTGTGCAGCCTCATCAAAAGATGGAGGAACTTTCCAGTAATACAGACCATCACACTGGCACACACTTACAGATGCTCTAAGCATGAACAAACACTGAGAAGTGTCTTTTTTCACTATCACCAAAGAATGCTATGTCGGGCATGCATATACTTGAGTATTTGGTCTTGGGACAAGATTTCTATTTACCCTCCTACAGTGCAGCTGCTTTTAACAGCAGAGCAAGAGACCACCAAACTGAAACATACTGCAGTGTGTTAAAAGCATATTAAATAAGATTTTAAATGTTTTATCACTTACCTCAAGGAAACTATTAAACTGTCTACCATGATCTTTTAATGCAAGGTATCTTGAAGTGAAAAATACCTCTTCGCTGTGGTACAGCACAATGACAATCACACAGAAATCCTGCAGAATGAAAGRAGAAAAACAATTAGCACTGCTTATTCAGTATTTTTCAGGGTATCTATAGAACTTCATACAGACCTACATTAGTCAACTCTACTTCAGTTCTGGGGCAGTGCTCATACGGTTTGCAGGAAAAAAACCCACAAGAGCAGCGTTGTTTCCTCTACTACAGRAGGAAAACCTATCCACAACCTATCTCCTCGACTTGCCCACAGTCAAGGAGAAAATCTGGAGTTAAAAAGCATTCTGAATATAAATTTAACTAATCCTTATTTCTAAGTACTATCATTGCATCATTACTACTGTGAACATATAGAAACCCTAGCAAGCCTTGGGAAGATTACCCAAGTGCGCTGTCATTTGTTTGTAAATAATCCCAAACGTTCACACATCTGGGAAGTTCTTATTTTAGTAAATTCATAATCATATATTGAACACCTAAAATGCAGAATTTTCAGGCAGGAACGAGATCCTTGCAGTAAGGAAATACAGTAAAAATCAGGAGGGCTGGGGGAGAGAGTGGAGGGAGGGAGGAAAAGAGGAAATAAAACACTATTAAAAGTGAACCTAAATCCATTTCAAAATTTGGTCAACTGCTGTCTACATCTTTCCATTTGCAAGCAGTTACATGCTGACATGCAGCGGAGGGAAGAGAAACAAGAGAACATTGCTGTTCACAGATAAAAAGCTCTTAATTTCTGTCAGACAGCCACATAATTGAAAACTGCCTAGAATGGGACAGGACTGACAGCTTAAGAAMTGTGCAATTAGATAAAGTTCAGATGCTGCTGCTAGGAAAATGCAGTTTGCAGRTAACTGGACAGGTTAAATATTCCCCATTCCTAAAACTAATTTGGTTTAGGAAATCACAAAATACTTGTAACATCTTCAAAGGAGAATTCCACTAATGATTTGATTGTTTAGTTTTTTTAATGGAAGGCATGAAAAGTTGACTACTTSGGAAAGTATCACAACCAAGGTTCTGTATGTTACAGGTTTGAGTCAGTCCTGAGGAAGAAAGCACTAAGGCTCAGCTAAACTTCATCCTCTCCTGCAGTTTCACAGTTGTCAATAGATCTAAGAGGTTTCCTCAAACTCATTCACCATTTTCACCACTTAACAYTGTAAAATTGGTTATAAGATGGGAAGCACTTCTGAAAACAGATTTTTGGTCTAGATCTCCTGCAACACTTCACACCGTTTGAGATTTTAGCACATCCAGTAAAAGATACATTCCTTTATGCATTAGGCAAGTCCACACATCCAGCACCACCAGCAGGCATTTAGACAGATCCCTGAACACAGGACTTGGTTCACATGGTGAACTGAAAAGGAAACAAATGGCTCACTGCCTACAACCTGACTTTGAATTACCAAGCATACTGAGGCAAAATTTTTTATGTCACTTATTGAGKATGGGGAATCTGCCTGTAACATGGATTGTAACCAACATGGTTTCAAGTTCTTATCATTTTGGTCTTTATCCAAAGGTTCTCTCTTTCAGATTTTTCACTCCACAATAGCCTTTTCATCCAACTCCAGCACTTGTATGGACTGACAGTCTCAAAAGAACATTGCTACGGGATACAAAAACACCGAAAAAGCAATGTACACTCCACTAATCCCTTCTATAAACTGCACCTCATTTGAAAAGCAGAAAAGATAACATAGAAAAGATAGATCTAGTTTTGCAAAGAAATAAAAGAAGGACCGTGAGTGTTTCTGGAGACTGTTTTTAAAAAGGGTGCCTGAAGTCCATGCATATGTTTTCAATTTTTTTCAGTTCATTTGTAACTTCATTGTCAATGGCAGGGTGCATTACTAATTCTACTTTCAACTGTATTTCAATGCCTATTTCAAAACAACTTCTTACTGCAATTCATAGATGCATTTCTTTTGAAGTATCATTTGTTGCACATAGGGTAAAAACTGCTAAATATTTAAGTGATTTAGGGGCTTGTTTTCCAAATTATTTAAGAGCTTAGGTGCTTACAGCCTACTGAAAGGAATGCCATTTTGACAGCGGTGTCTTTGATATGAAAATGTGCAAACGTGACAATCATTTTCCCCCCCGAAGATCCAGGGCAAAATGAACACCTGAAATGGCTACACAGTTAACATTGGGATTGAAAAATGTTAATTTGGCAGGGAAACTTTCAAAAGCCTGATGAGGTGTGCTTGTGCTCGAAAAGCCTTGCATTGCAAAAGTCAAATTGCCTTCCCAGAAGGGCCTGAAAAGCATTATAGACCTATCTACCAAAAGACTCTCTRGTAATTCTTCCTACAGCAGAATATATATTAATTTCTCAACTGGAACAACCCATACTCTTCTACTTCACGGAGTCAGCAAGACTTTCTCCACTGCATTAAAATATCTGACATTGCAGCAGTCTTCCCTATTTCACTTCCAAGCTGGATGAAAACAAGGTCAATCTGTGAAACTGGGTGGAGGAAAAAAAAAAAAACCAACAAAAACACAGCCCTCCCAGAAAATGAATCAAACAAACCAAACCAGCTCACAGAATGGAACAGAATTGAAATCTCTCTGGAACCATGGGATGACAATCAAAGGGAGAGGTATTTCATTGCATATAATAAAACGTGCATGGGGTCACAGAAAATGATTGAAGGACCCTGCTTAAAGTCTCCTCCCCTTTCAGACTGCAGGTGAGTGGTTGGAACACCTTCCAAATGCTGCTGCCAGTCTCAGCAGTTACCCTACCAAGCAATAAGTTAATCATAACCATGCCTTGACTTGGTATTTACTGACATTTATCCAGACCCTTTCTTACCTTAGAAAATAAGAAGAATAATTTCTAATGGAAATTTCAAAGAGGGGTGGAGAATGGCAGTAAAGAAATAATCTAATAGGCTCATCAGCTAATAGGCAATCACAGAAATTTGCTCATAAGGACAAAAAAAGATTTCTCAAAGCCTTAAATGACACAATAGACAGAATTATCTGGACAGACAGCACAGTGTACAGAAAGTTTAGACAAGAGAAAGAAAGTCTTCTGGGAAGTCAATGGGAAGATTTACCCTTTGCCTAACAAACTTCAAGAAACTTAGAGGTTTGAAATTTTGCAGAAAGCCAATGGTATCCTAACCCCTTAGTTATCACGGGACAACTCACATGGTTTTTCATGTGACTGTGCCCTTCGTGTATTGTGAGTGGATAGTCTTTCACTGCTGTGAATTCCAATTCATTTCAGCATCAATTTCTTGTAAGCCCCATCAATGCACATATATCCATCTGCATCTATGTATAACTGTAACAGAAATTCCTGAACATGTGCATGTGTACAGTACTTACATAAACAATGCAAGTAAGACCCTTTATTTTAACTCACAACAGCAATGTGAGATTCATCACATAGAAATATATGCTAACTCAACCAAGTCCAGAAGAACTCTGAGTTTTTGGTGACTTTTACCTTGCTGACTTACATATATATGAAGCCAACCTCAATTTCCTTCAATATTCTCTTTTTGGTCAGATTATGTATCTTGCCAGCTACTGACAATGGCAACTTGAAGTACCYGTGAAACTTGAGCATTGTTTCCAAGTCATGTTTCCACTGATGTGAAATGTTCTTGTTTTGTAATATTGGAGGGGATCAGAGATAAAGAATACCTAGAATACTTTACAGAAAATATTACGCCCTTTAAGACTGACTTTGAATCTGTTGCCTTGTACCTTGGTATAGTGTATCTGTTAGTTTAGTTGTTCACATCTATTAAATCATGTTCAGTGCAAGTCCTTTGGATTGCATCCAAAATTCACTACATTCACAAGACTTTGATAAAGCACTCACAGTGTGCCAGGTTTATCTAGCTACATAATTTGTGCATACATCCAACAGCTTGAACTGCAGCTGTTGACACCTACCACCAGAGTTTTAATCTCTTCAAATATTCATTAACTACATTARAACGTACACTTGTCTCTGAAAGCTGCGTAACAGAGAAATCTAACATTAGATCTGATGAAAAGTTTTGATACTTACATGGAGCAAACACTTTATTAAAGCAAAAACGGCAAGTTACTCCACCTAGCCCTGCAGGTACCTTTCCTTTTTATTTTAAATGCTTTGAGAACTTTCAGGTTCTCCTTTTGGGTGTGTCCAGAACTACTGCAGTCCAAGAAAGCTGTCTCCAATCTGAGCTTGATCAAGATCCACAAGTTTTCATTTCGTTGCTTAAAATCTCACAGAGAGTCCAGTAATTGTGCTCCACAAACAACAACATCCCCGGAGCCAGGACCAAGCCCCTTCTTGACAAACGTAACCAACTGTGCTTTCCCCGCAGCCTCTGGAGCCGCGCTCTGCTCGGAGCTCCGTGAAATGTCASTCTGCAAGTCTATTTATTTAGTAGAAGTCTTAATTATACTGCAAAGCATATAACTRCATTTCAGAACAACTAGGAATAACAGAAATTTCTTAGAGCCTYTGTTAGCCATACTGATTTCTTTACATGCAAATATATCAAAGAAAATTAACTTTTCTTATAGTCTTTCCAGGACCTCTTATGGTCTTTCCAGGTCTCTCCCCTGACCATACCCACAACTTCCATTCACAAAATGCAAATTTTGGCTTTTAAAAATATTGTTATGCCACAATTCAAACAATTTGCTTCCATCTTTTTTGAAGAATATAAAATTTAAGATCAAAAAAGGCTTGTGACATTAATCTTGTAAGTAGAGGGGAGAAGCAGGAAAGTGCTTGTTTATAGGTCATGAGCTGCAGTCATTATATATGAGTAATAGGATTTTTTTTTTTAAATTTTTCTTAATCTTTGTTCACAACATTGATTATATGTTTGCTGAATGTGCACTATTGCAATTGTGCACATTGTAAAAAGATTGTAATAATGAGCCTGATCTAAAATTTACTAAAGACCTCTTAAACTCAGTAATTGGCTTAAACATGGATAAAAGACCACAAGTCTGATAATCAGTTAAAATATATTGTTGTGGTATGAAGTATGACATTTAGTTAGCT